TATGAAAACAAAAATACTACCGTTCGGTTCATTGAAAGAATATCTCCTAATTCCTAACGATAGTTTTAGTCAATATAGCGATTTATGAACTTTGAGAGGTCAAGCAATATCATATATTTCACTATATTATTCAATTTTCTCGAACAATGTAAACTAGCCATACCTTTCGCCGAACATAACTTCGGCCCCTTCGGACATATCCTTTTCGTAATAGTCTTGTTCTAATTGGCATCCAATACACTATTTATAAAGTGTTATTTCAAGGACGTCTTCTGAAATTATGTAAGGCCATCACTCACTCAGTGTCTCAGTTGTACGTTAGAAGAAATGCGGCTGTTAGCAATATGAGACGAAGTTTCCGAGCGGTTCACGATTATTTCATTTCTTGCGCAATCAAAATACAGCCACAGTATCAGAGGGTATCCGACGTCATAGATACACGTCCTGTGATTGGCTGGATACCCTCCAAGGTATCCAAATACCTCATTAAGTTACTATTTTTAGTAACAATTGAACCGCGGACCGTATCAGAACACCGCAGACGCATTTAAAAACATTTTTCCGATCGGGTTACGTAACCTCGGGTTATGCCTTTGGAAAGCTTTCGTCTCATCTTCGTCGAAAGTAATTCAATGCTTTAAAAACACGTCTAATGTTACATTTAGAGCTGTGAATTTTAAAATTTACGAAAGAATTTGCCCTCGTTCATCTTAGTAAACTCAAATTTTCACTATTTTTGTAAACAGAAATGAATTGCGTGAAAATATATTAATATTGAATTTTTCGCCAAAACTATTTTAGTATGCATAATCGGAAAAATCTGACCGTATCTTGAGCTACACTCGATACCCCCTGGATCCGCCCCTGGTATATACTACAACGATCCATCAATTGCAAGATCATAGTAATCAGTCAGAAAAATTGATAAGATCGCTTTTGTGCACTTTACTACCGATTTAATATTCTCCTCTTACTGTAAAATATTTTTCTAGGTATTCGATCTCAGCGCCAAGCTTTCAAAAGGTCAATAGCGATGACAGCATTGGATTGCGTCTTGTCTTGCTTTGGGGAAAAAACTTGCAAATCTTTCAATTATGCTGAACCTACTTCTGTCAATGACGGTGAAGGGAATTGTGAATTACATAATGAAACCAAGAATGATGATGAAAATTCATTGCAATTCCTGAAAGATGATAGATACACCTTCTACCAGATACCTGGAGCATCACATGAATCAGAAAACAAACACACGACCGAAAATGCAACTGAAGAGGTACTGTATCTATCTATCTTAAATAATTCATTGTTGGCAAAAAGTCAAATTTCGTGCAAGGAGAAAGTTGCTTTCATTGCCACGTTAATTCTTGTCACTTATGCAACAAAGGTTCATGTAATATGCTTTTTTTTACTTATAACTTCGCCTCTAGAGCTGTGCGGTTATCCGAAAGATAGCACCTGAAATCACCGGAAATCGGCACCAAGTTTGCGCAAAAGAACCGGTAGTTTCGTTTTCCACGTGTCGTTCTCACTTTATAGTCGACTGTGTCGCTCTCACTCTGAGGAAAATGAAATTTTTAAGGAATTTTAAGTTTTGTTCTAATACTACGAAAAAAGGCCCTATTACTTGGTCTTTAAGACGCAAACAAAGACATTTCCTTTTTGAAAAAAAACGAAGACACCGAATCAAGGCTCTTCCACCCCAAAAAGACCGAAACCTAGATGAAATTTCTGGAACCGCACAGCTCATTCGCCTAAGTAGCAAGTGAGAAGATAATTAATTAAGTGGGGTTTCATTGTATATAGGGACCGCTATAGGAAGAGAATTATAAGTTAATTAATTACCTATATATGGCAAATGTATTGTTACAAGCTGTCAGCTGGCAATTGTGAGAGTTAATTAAGGCATTGGTGAACAAGACTTTATAGTGTTGGATGTGATTTTGAGTTTAAGTTTACGGCAGCAAATTTAGTATGATATCGATTTTCGTAGCCTATTTTGAGTTTAATGCGCTCAAAATGCGGACAATGCACCACAGTTAATATTATTAAGTTACTATTCTGCTAACTTTAAACACCTTTAACTTAAAACCCGCTACAGAAATCATACTTTTAAGTACATTTAAAAATGTTCAACATATCAAAATGTGGAGATTGCATGCATGCACTATACAATTAATAAACTATTAAGTTACTACTCTGCTAACTTTAATAGTAGCCCATATAGTTTTTTTTTACAGTGAACTTGAAATATTGCAATTTTAGTCAACATAGTATTTATTAATAAATATTGGCTCTAGAGCTAAAATCATGCAAACATGGGAAAATATATAGTCTTCATGTTTCGCTCGCTACTCTGGTTTAAATAAATGATTACAAAGCCCAGTCGAATTGTAATCAAGACCCAACGTTTCGACACTCCAGTCTAGTGTCTTCATCAGGGGTGATCTAAAATTGCAATCGTGGCTTCTTAAATACCCAAGGGATGACGTCACCTGACAATGAGATGCATATATTCCTCTGGCAAATAGGCACCGCCATCCCTATTCAAAGCATGATTACTCATATTTATATGCCACGCTTCTAGGCAAAGTCTTTGACCATATAGCGATTATTTGTGGTAATCACTTTAGAGTTTTCCCACGCAATAGGGATGACGGTGCCTATTTGCCAGAGGAATATATGCATCTCATTGGCAGGTGACGTCATCCCTTGGGTATTTAAGAAGCCACGATTGCAATTTTAGATCACCCCTGATGAAGACACTAGACTGGAGTGTCGAAACGTTGGGTCTTGATTACAATTCGACTGGGCTTTGTAATCATTTATTTGAACCAGAGTAGCGAACGAAACATGATTGATATACCTGGTTGCAGTGAACGAACAAACTTTAAATATATAGTCTTGTTCACCAAAATTTAAAGTTAGCCAACCGCTTAAAACTTATATCATTTCTAGTACACATAAAAATTATTGATGTTCTAAACGTCCTAGGCAAACAAACCTGCCTCAAACAGAAGTTGTCTTGACCATTTCAACCATGGTAGTAAAACATCGGGTGAATACACCATCCTTGATTGGCAGCAACAACAACCTCGCACAGTGTATTGTGATATGGAGTCGGAACCTGGATCTGTTTGGACTCTTGTCTTGTCCTTCACAAGAGCAAACAGACAATGGGGTCAATTCAGAGGCAAAGCAATGTATGAAGATGCCCCAGAGAAAGAGTATTCTCCAAATTGGTCCAACTACCGGATGGGCCTGAATCAAATGACCGACCTGAAGAACAAGACAACTCACTGGCGAGCTACATGCAGTTTTCCCACATACAGATTCGACATCCGCACTAACTACGTGCGAGCTGTTTTCACAGATTTTGATCTCATGGGTGAATTTTGGGATGAATGCAAGAAAGTCGATTATATTAGTGTCATGAGCCAGAGTTGCTCAGAATGTACCTCGCACTGGTGGCAAAGTAGTAGGTACAACTATGCTCCACACATATATGCAGGTGATCCAGGTGGTATGTGTGATGTAAAAAGTGATAAAAGTTATACAACCTATTTTGGTGCGTACGAAAGTTACAGTACGGCATTTCGTTGTACAGCTACTTCTGACTCGACAACAAATTACTGGTTTGGATCTTATGTGTGATGATATGACCGCGCAAATGAACTGCATGCATGTATGCATGTTAAAATTATATTGAACTTTATCGATTTATTAGTATAGATAACCTGCAAGCTGTTTAAAAGTAACATGCATATAGTAAATTCCTATTTCCCTATATATGCAGGCATGGACAAGTGAATATAACTATAAAATCATACATTACGTGGAATCTAGATGGACTACTACGCTAGTTTTAGACGTTACTTTACATAATATTAGACACACAAATTTGTATATCTTTTACTCATATATTTAAATACACTGTTGCAATGATGTGGCGGCACATATTTATTGCTTTCCAAAGGATTGTAATCCTGTATTACCTGCATAAAGTAAACAGGACATAGAAAGAACTGTTTCCAAATGTTCAGACTTGATTTAATTACTTTAATCAATTATTCAAACTAGACATGCATGCAAAAACGTTTTTTGACTCTCCCATGAGTCATTGTGCATGAAACTAGGTCTATTCATAGACTATCGAAGGGAAGGTGGCTGTGGAAATCATTAGAATAACAATATAACTCATTATCTATGTTAGTCAACGTTTATTCATAAATCTGGTCCTTCACCGTCACGTGCGTGTTGTATTTTGCCAAATCCACCAATAGCAAATTCCAATTTACCCAATTGTTCGAGTCACGCATAGATATAATTTTCTTAAAACATTGCTATTGGTTAGTTGGCCAAAAATACAATACGCACGTGACGGTGTAGGACCAGATTTTTCATGAATAAACGTTGACTAACACAGATAATGAGTTATCTTGTTATTCTAATGAGTTTCATAGCCGTCTTCCCTTCGATAGGCTATGATCTATTAAAGTTATGAATGTGAAGCAGGAGTTTCGCAGCAGTTAAAGTGACCAGAAAACTGTCTTTTAAGCAGTTCGTGGTTTTTTTTCCGGGGCAAGGGGGTAGTGAGCATTGAAATGCCGGCTTTGTCTAAACAATGAACGCAAGGGCGGATCTGGCCCCCGTCTGCCTGGAGTAGAGCAGGTTTTCCATGGGGTGATGCATTTGGGGGGGGGGGGATTACAGTAGACATGTTACTCTGACTGCCTATATACTCTCTTCCACAAAGTTGTATAGCCAGTTGAAGCCTCGCCCCTCACCTCCCCCCCCCACACACCCTTTATGCATAGAGATTGTAAATTAGGAGAGTGGGCATTAAATGAAATTAAAGCTTCATAATGGAGCCAGCGATCGCAAGTCCAGGATGTCAGGTCGCACGCCAATTAGCTATACATTGAAATTTTCCTAGCAAGAGTCTGTCGACTATGGAAAAGACGGGTATATGTTTGGACAATACAAGCAAAAGTACGTATATATTTTATGCCAGAATCAAGCTTTATATTGCCAACGTTGTCTCAGGTCTGCAGTGGATTCAAAAACTTTTTTATCGTTCTGGGGTAGGTTGCATAAATAAGTAGTTAAAATGAACTATAGTTAGTGCAAAAGTTAACCAATCACGATCGCGTATTTTAGAGTTAACAGCTACCTACTATTTATCTACGAAACAGGTAGTTAAAAAGTAGTTAGGTTTTTTTATAAATAAAGCTTCAGATTGGTAGGGATCCAAGTGCAACTACCTAAAAAATACAAGGAGAACTCGACATTTCGAGCGAAGGCCCTTCTTCGGGAAGTCAGTAGCGGGGCTTTTATACTGGAGTGAATACAAAAGTGATCACGTGACAAAAAGCACATGTAATTTTTCCAATCCCGGCTACTAAGTTTCCGACGAAGGGCTTTCGCTCGAAACGTCGAAGTTCTCCTTGTATTTTTCAGGTAGTTGCGTCCCTATCACACCGAAGCTTTCTTATTATTGGCACTACCTATACACTGGCAAATTAAGATGGCACAGACCATCCTTTATACAACCGGCCCGATAGACGACAATTCCCATTATAGACTAATTTTAAAACGAGGCAAGGAGATGCAAATAAATCACCACAGGTAGAAAGAGCATACTAAAATTATAGTAAAGTTACAAAGTTTGGTGGCGAAATGTTGTAAAATGCGGAAAATAGTGCCTTGCAAATTTCGCAAATTTTGTATACTTTTGTATTGCACTTGGGCCGAAAATAGTAGCAATTTCCGCACGCAATACAAAAGTATACAATATTTGCAAACTTTGCAAGGCTAAATTTTCCGCATTTTACAACATTTCGCAACCAAACTTTGTAATTTTACTAATTTTAGTATGCTCTTTCTAGCTGTGGTGATTTATTTGCATCTTCTTGCCTAGTTTAAAAATTAGTCTATAATGGGAATTGTCTATTCAACAACTTGCTAAGAGCTTTGCGACAGTACAACTGTTACTTGCAGGATCTTGACATATTTGTTTCATTTTAAGACAAGCTGCTACAGGAATGTTGCGAACGCATCATGCCTGGATTATATAAGCAAGAACACGTACTTATTACATGCCAAGCAGCAGCAAGCTTTTTATACAAAGTTGTTTTAGGCATGAAGTTGGTTCAACATTTTTTATCGTCCTGCAATTCAAAATCTTCCAAAAAAATTGTGTTTAACAAACTTGCAGGAACTTGTCGTAATTGAATAGGTTTTGTTTGTGGAAACACCACGTAAATTTATTACTGCAAAGCTTTCGATCCGTAAGCCCGGATCTTCATCAGTGCTAATAATATGCTAATAATATGCATACATGCAGAAATTATCCCATTGTTATAATTTGAATGCCCTAGCACTAAGTTGATCCCACAGGTGCATAAACTTCTGCTTCTGGAATTTAAAATAAAAAAGCAAACCGTTTATTAGTGTAATCGTCTTGCTTGACTCGGGCGTTAAAATATTTGGACAAAGCGAAAACGTTTTAAAATGCTTAAATGTAAATACAAGTTCATTAAATTCCCAGGCGTGTAATTACGCGCGTTTAAGAGCGGCTTAAGAACAATGAGATAATTTCCACTAGGCGAAATTTTTCGACCGAATCGAAATTTCTCTTTGTTTCATGAGCTCTCAAGCAGAACTAATTGTAAAAAGACAAAGAGAAATTTCGTTTCGGTCGAAAAATTCCGCCTCGTGGAATCCGGCCTTAAAGGCGCATTTCCATTCGGTGCAAAATGTCGCGCGATCGTCTTCTGGCGATCGCTCAACCTCGTTCCCAGGCTATTTGCTCTTGGGAAGCAAAGACCCTGGTCGGAGCTGGTCACGTGAACCCCCAGATTTTGGGGGTAAATTGAATTTGATCTCAGGGAGGGGTAGGAGAGTAGTCTGTTTGTTGCGTTTGGAAAATTGCAACTTTATGTGTTATAATTTCGGGTGATAAAAATGTAATTTGCAACAAGAGATTGTGAAAGAAACTGTTCTAAATTCGTACCGATCATGACAAGACTTCCTGCTATACTGAATGTCATCAATAATAAGTGTTGCGTTATATTTCAAGCAAGAAGCTGGATCATATTTCACTTGCAAGGAAAACACTCCACACGCGCCTGGCCTGCGAAGTTTAGCACGTATCGCCGTAGAAACATACATATCTTCTACACAGACTGATCGATCAAACGGTATTAAACGAACGATATGGTTCTTTATAGCTGAAGTGTATCCTGTCCGATATTCAAAACAAAAGATTTATTTTATAATGGGATCCTTTGTCTTTGATTTTCCAAACATCGCCAACATGTGTAAACAATAGTGCTATTCAGGGGCCGGTTGTATAAAAAAGTGATTAAAGTTAACTATAGTTAGTGGAAACGTCATCCAATAAGAAGCGCGTATTTGAGAGTTAATCACTATTTAACTACAAAATAGTGATTAAAAAGTAATTAAGAGTTTTATACAACCGGCCCCTGACTGTAAAAGCACAGGATTAAAACCCGTTATGGACTGGCTATAAAATTCATTTCATTTACATTGCTGAAACTCAACGATCGGGAAAGATAATGTCGAAGTGTAGCTAGCTATCTGTTATCACACAAACGCCAAGACTCCGTACATGCGTTTCCGTTCCTGCTGTACAACTTGAATATCTAGGACGATATATGCACCCAGACACTGGTATTGTACTTTATATAAATTATTTCATATTTTGTATATACAGTAATTTGCAACATGTATAATATTAGACCTTTCATTGACATTGGCATTGTCCATTGAGGGCTTTATTGAAGAATAATCCAGCTTCTTTAGACTTGTATAATGGATTAATGCCGCTGTGAGTTATCAATATTTAAATCAACTTTAATCTTTATCGTATATACTGGAATCGACATTTTAGAAGTTTAGTCTGTTTTACCAAACAATACATGAGGCAAACAACCTATCTATCAATGGAAACTTTAAAAGGTTTGCTACAGTAAAACTCATTAATATAAGCGAGACTTCGTGTGCATATACAGTTTATGAATTATGTATGTCCCTGATATGAACGTAGGACACTTTATACCAGATATAATAAAAAATACTTTGCTAAACCTTTTCGGCTGTCATTCCTTTGCATTTAAGGGGAGAGGGTAAATGGCGATAGAATTTATAGGAGATGCTGTGCAATATTTTGGCTTCAACAAACAGGTACTCGTGCAGACAAAAAAGGAAATTCTTGCAGTTATGAATTGTCGTATGTCAGCTGTGTACTGTCGATTTCAAACAATTTTGTACGTTATATTTTGTCTTCCTGGTGTTTAATATAAACGATGATAGCCATTTAAAAAAAAATCTAGAGCAATATGTCTATAAACAGTTTTAGAATCAATAGAATGGACATTCACAATGTGTATTTGGCTTGTGTCCAAATGTGTCACGTTTAAGACCGGCAAGGCGCTAATCCTACGACCTATAAACAGTCGCTTTCGAGACATCTGTTTAACAAAATTTATACCATGTCCATATCAGAACAATTCATTGGCATATTATAAGCATATTTTAAATATCAGAGCCACAACAGAAACGTATGCGTGAAATAAAACTATACGCCCGAACCGGCGAACCCCGAGAAAATAAAAATATTTCAAAGCGTA